GTTCCTGAATTCAATTCTTAGTAGGGTTATAGGTGGATTTTACTACATAGTCAAAAACTAGGAGGAAAGAGGAATTTAGACATCACTAGTTTTAAGTGGCTATCCACTTGGTATAAGTTTGACGAGAGCAAATTTCAAACAATTAACATTTCCTAATTTCAATCATTCCTCAATACAACACAACCAACATTCCTTGCCACCATTGATCACCTCTTCTCATCTCCAATTTGATCCATTCCATTTATAACAGATTTGTTGAGAAAATCTATCTCCAAACCGGTCTGTGAACGGTTAACCATTGTAGTTAACATCGGATGGTTTTAAAAGTTCCCACGCGGAACTGAAAATTTACCAAAATACTGACATATTTGAAGATGTTTTTATTTCCATTCACTAGGAATAGCTTTTAAGATAGCATTCTGAACCCTTGAAACCCTAAAGAAAACATGATCGTGGCAAAAACTGAAATCTTCAGTCTTCAACTAGAACAATGTTACAACACAAAACTTCTTGACACTATAGTGGTTCTTTAAGTATAACAATTTAATTGTCTTGAAGGGAAATAGGCAAAATTGAGTACTGGCAATTTGAACTATTTCGTTAAAATATCGTCTTCATTGAAGTCAAAACTATTCCTATAAGTCTTAAAGTTTAGACAATGATTATTTTTCTACAAGTTTTAAGTCTTGTGTATCCATCTCTGACTGAGTATTTTCTTTCTAGTAAATAAAAGAAATAAACTTATAAAGCCTTCATGTCTAGCAATAAGTACTTAAAACCTAGAACAGACTTGAAACAAGTAAATTATTAAATGGTTAATAATAAGTGTTACGATTTATTTATTCATAATAATAAAGTTCTGGCGGTCTATTTATAGAAGAGAAGAGAAGAGAACGAGAACAGAGAGTGATTGATATGTAAATGAAGTAATAATTAATTCTGAGACAATTAATGGATATTTTGCAAACGAAGTATCTATTGTATGGTTCTCAGATTCTACTAAGAGATTCTGTAATTTTGTGTTCAAATACGTTTGGTTGATCCATCTATGTTCTTGTTCACTGCAAGTTATTTATGGTAGGACTCTGATACATCAAACTGTGGATTATCTTGGAAATTTAATTTTTACTATCATAAGCCTTGATATATATGGGCTTGACGAGGAATGTGCGAACAAATGAGAAAAATAAAATATTCGATAAGTTCACATTAAAATGACTATTATAAAACACTAAATTCAAAAGCCAAGGTGATTTAAATAGAGTTTTATTAGTTTAAAAAAGATATTTATATGAAAATCACGTAAAAAATAGTTTAAAAAATTCCTAACTGAAAATAAGGATGACAAGGCAGCCTGTTTGAATATCTGGTCTACCTGTTCCTGTCATCTGGATATTTCAACAAGTTATCTGGTTTCTTGTTTGTTTTATCACATCATTATGCCTATTAGTCTCATAACCTATTTAGGTTCGTTTGTGAAAAGTTTATGACATTTCGCTGTACAATTTACAAACGAGCCCAATCAGAGATATCGTGGTTGCTGGCAGTATACATCGAAAACGACGTACATTATTCAGATGTTCATTCCAGAACAACTAACATCTAATTGGCGATCAGTCAAAATTTATCGTCAAAATTGATCAATAAGTAAGAAAAAGAAACTTGTTGAAATACTTTGTGCTTAGAATTCCATAGTGTACTAAAAATATAGTATTGAATAAAGTCACTAAAAGTAATAATAATATGTTTGATATTTAATAACATAAGAATAACCAAAAGAATGTTAACAATTTTTTTGTTGTTGAAAAAAATAATAAAACATTCACTATTGAACAATTTTAATAAGACAATTTGCTTTAAATACTCATGTTTATGATTAATCAGTCAGTCAGTCAGTCACAACGTAGAACTTCGTACGTACGTACGTACGTACATCAGTTCGAGTTGTCATACCACATTAACACAGAGATGCAGTTGTCGATTCAAATCCCATAGTAGTAGAAGTAGTAAGGGTATAAGCAGTAATCCGAAAGATTAAGGTTTGAAGATGTTATTCAAGGAGTATAATCGAGTGAAATAAATTTAGAAAGAGTAAAAGATAGAGACATGATCAATGGTTAAAAAGTAAAATAAAACCCTGTCAAAAAAGAAAAAAAGGAAATGAATACTGAAGTTTTTAATTAAGGATTTAATGATTAAAACTATTTAATAATTAATCATTTTATTTTTTGAAAATTTAACTATTTTTTTGTTTACTTACAAAGTAACAATGTGTAATTTAAATTTTATTTGATATTTAATAATTTGAAAATATATTCATAATATAAAATATTTATTTATTTATATATGCGCCGCACAAATCTCATTTGATTTGTGTGAGGGATGTGATACTGCTCAGGTGCCCAAACTGAAGCAGGTTATTTTTTGAGGGGGCCACACCCTCAGCCTTTGACCTAAAGACCTGATCCACAAAGTAGTGGAGCATCGTAAGGAGATGCAGTCTCATGGTAACCGGTGAACAACGATTGATTCATACGCCATTTGTTGCCCCAGGATACTGGAGCCTATGTGCACCATTGGTTTGGAATCAGGGTTTTCCAACTCCCCTAGGTGGAGTTTTCGCTTCCACCAACCCAGTTAAAGCGCCGGATGTTCGCTTTTCGTCCTCTCAATTTTGTAAACAACACCTGCGTCACGAGAACGCAGTGAGTAGGACTTCCTTGGCAGAGGCTATATACGCGTGGCCATGTGAGAGCATTTTGAGAGGAAGAGCGAACTCTTCCCACTCTCAGCCGTACCAGGGCATTTGGAGGCTTATAAAATATATAAATATGGTAGAATGTTATCAAGATATTTAACATGATGTTAATAAAGACATATGTCGTGAAGATTTTTCTTAGAATTCGGATGAAATCTGCCATAAATTAAATCATTTAATCAAAAAATATAATTCCATTTGATAGACAAATATTTTCTACTATGTTAACCAAAAAGTTTATATTATTTTTTTCCTTACAAATAACTAATACTGTTAGCTTTCATTTATATGATACAACTCTTTAATCGAGTCTAGGAGTTTGTACTTGCTTCTACATATCACTTTCTATGAGAAGCATGATGATATTACATTGTTCCACAAACTGAACTAGGTGGAGTGGAGTTACGATAATTAAATGTCAAATGCTCTCTTTACTGAGCCATCACTGCAGTGTTCAATTTTGACGTTATAAAGCTTAACGTGTTATATATAGTTTGTGGAACTTTATACTAAGTAAAATAAAACAATAATTAACTTTATTCATGTCAAAGTATTACAAATGAAATAATAGCTCAGATTAATAAGATGAAATATATATCGTTATTACAATTGAACATCTATTTTTCGATAATGTAATGAGAAGACGAAGATTATCAGAACTATGTGATATATTGGCACAATACATTTCGAACAATCTGATCACACCTAATATACTCGTTAAGAACATTTATATATAAAAATAAAAGGTCAACTAGACTGGAAATAGGGGTAAGAATAGACAAGGATAATAATGATAAAATAATGTGAAAACAACTTGACATCTAATCAATCTGGATAATAAGCATATATTACCAGGGTAGGTTTATAGAGAGGACAAACTGTTTTTGAATACACAAAGGGGGGTTGAATTTTCGTATGGCTAAGGCTTCAATAAACCTTAGTATACACCCTTTTACACTTTTAAACAACACCACAAAAGCCGAGTTTAGATCAATCTTATGACCTGTTTCGATTATAGTTTAGCAATAGAGGATGATCGATGTTTATCCTCTACTCTTATTGGGTCATTCGACTGTATTTGTTTTTGCTGTAGGATACATTAGAAATCACAAATACAGCATGGATTTTATGGTAGGCTTTAGTTGCATGTTAGGTTATAGATTTGATACACAGTACAAAAACTAGTATTATTGATGGGACAGTATTTAAGATATTAAACTATTGTTCTTAATTATATAATTAAACAACTTAAGCATTTGACTAATATAATATTAAAGAAGAACTCAGTTTTGAAACATCACAAAATGATGAAAAATATTTCGCTGTCAGTTTTGATTCATAAACAACATAATTAGATAATAGGAAGATAAAAATAAGTATTCGATGCAAAACATACCCAAGCAAACATTCATCAATAAACAGATATAAGGTATGACTTGAGATAAATGTGTTTTTATCTGAGTTTCTTTACTTCATATTACAAATTAACACTCCAAAAAGTGAAACAGATCAAATAATGATCTAAAACTTAGTAGTAACTGAAGTGCAGGAAATATAAATACTTTCAGTTAACGAATCCTGACTGGGACGAAACGCGCATTCTGTATTCCATTCCTACCCACTAACCAACCCTACTAATACACTTGCAAATACCTGGGAATATAGAGGAAACCCTCTCAGAACATATAAATGCCAAAAGTGACTGATTAGTATCAACGAGAAGATATAAATACATACAAATCGAAGTGAGGGAAATATTATTAAAATCAATTTATTAAAATCGGGAAATTAGAAATATAAAAACCAAAACACAAACAAATAGACTACATGATGGTAAATATGTTTTTACTGGAGTAATCATTTGCGACTATAAACTCAGATATACACTATGCCTTTAATAAGCTTTTCCACCAAACAAAATGATGAATTGTATTTAGTATATTTCATGAAACGTTTATTGATATTTATTTGCAGAACATAAGTACAAAAATCAGTTTTTAATAGTCAACTCGTTTCTTAAGTATCATAATGAAATACTAATACTGATACTGATATGCTAACGTTTAAATAATAAAATATCTGATTTTTAATGCAGCAATCAAGAGAAGCTGATAGATAAATAGCAATACGAATTCGGTATGACTAATGTGAATCATGCAAACTCCATCTAATCTTTAATTAACAGTAATTCAATTTTTTTTCAAAGTAATAAACATTAAAATTTTAAAGAGCATCTACTCACTTTTAAATCTCGATGTACAACTCCTTGACTATGCATATATTCAGTAGCTAATAGAACTTGTCGAATAAGGGCACTTGCATCACGTTCAGTATAACTACCTTTCTGAACAATACGATCGAATAATTCCCCTCCAGTAACTCTAAATTTGAAAGAAAAAAGGAAATAAAGGTTTATAAATAAATGTCAGGGGAATATCCAGTTAATAAAATAAATTAACAGAGTATTATGATTTAGTTATTAGGGTATGAAAATCATTGTTCTTCAAAAAACATTATGATATAAATTATATCGCTTTAAAGTAAAATTTTAGTTAATTTGATCATAGTTATTAGTTGTTAATGCTGGTGGGCGACCTATGCTCCTCCACGAGGGGTAACAGGCGTAAGTAAGTAAGTAATTAGTTGTTAACAATCTATTAAATATCTGACCCAATAGAATCATAATTCATCATCTTATAAAACATTATATTGTTATAGATTATCCTGGAATAAAATCTTAGTATTGAAACTTTCATTATTCTATTCTTTGAGTTTTGTCTAAAAAATTGAACTTTCAGACTGACTCAAATTCATTAGATAAAGAGAATATTTACCTTTAAGTGGCATAGATTAACTTATCATGATTTTGAACAAGGAGTTTAAACTAGGTTAAATCGGAGAAACTACCGTAATTTACGATCTTTTATAACATCGGCTTATAGTGTTTTGCTGTGATTCTTCACTGTTTTCCTGTCTTTTTTTGTTTAATGTCAACAATATCCCTTGTGTCCCGTAAAGTCTTTTCTATATGGCTTATACATTGGAGTGGATAAAGAGGACATTGTATATCACCCTCTTAGTTCATTGTCAATGAACCATCGTACATCTTGTTTTGCTATTTGCCAAGTAAAAGAAACATTATGTTCAGTGAAGTGAAAAACAACGCGAATTGACAATCAAAACCAACAAATGCTTTACTGTTGTGTAATATCAAACAAAATGTTACTAAAGAGATAACAATAGTCCTTTATTCAGCCAAGATTTATTAAAACAGTTGCGAATATCTAGCCATACAGCACTTCGAACTTTAGTCGACAAAACTACAATGAGTATAACTATTCTGATGACCGAATGCTCCTATTTACTATCAAATGACTTTTGTCATTAATCATAACTATTTATGACCCAATAAGTAATTTACGGGCAGATTATCAGAACTGGATATTCATATACATGAATAAAAAGACTACTTTAATAATCAACTCTAATACTTAATTTGCCGATTTTGCCCTTGTATGTATACATACCGCCACGATGATTTGAGCCAAATATTTTTCAACCAGCAACTTTCTTTTAAATAATTTTGCTGTGGTAACACTTTATGAGAGACAGTCATCAACGTGTGCTACAGTTTTCAAAAGTATCTGATTATTTAAAATCGCAGCTTTTCTGTGTTTTATTTTACTACATCAGCATAGAATCTAAGTTTCACAAGTTGATATCGTGTTTATTATTATAAATACTTCTTAAACAGTTAAATCTCGTTTCAAAAGGTGAACATTCATCGATAAATTATTGAAAAGAACAGATATCCTACACATTAACAACGAAAATATCTTTCATGACGGAAAGTAACAGAATTGAAAAAGCAGTGGAAGAATTAAGTATGTTAAGAAGTGCTTCTATAAAGGACAACGACTATCTATAAACTAAGTCCCATAAATACAATGTCACCATATCCTTTTGTTTCGTTTATTCAAAATTTCAATTTGATGTATTTTATACACTATGATTTTTGTGATAAACTGAATATAATCAACAAAGCATTTGTACCTCATTTATTACACATTTCAAGTTTAAATGACTATGAATAAAAAAGAGTGATACAGAAGTATAATAAATAATTACTCTGAATCGTCCTTATTGGACTACTTGAAAATTACATTGCATCCTAAGCCTACAATCAAATTAACGACACTGGGACCACATAATTGTGCACAAGACCGTAACTAATTTTGACAAACTTGCCCTGATTTCAACCACTCTCGAAGAAGTTACTAACTTGTTCTGTATTTCGGTAGTTTGCCTAAAAATAGGTTTTAGTGTTTTCCCAAAGTTTGCTGACATTTTTCAGTTCGTTTTCATGGACTGAAGGTAAGCTAGTATTAAAAAATCCTTCATATGGAAACTTTCGCAGAAAGAAATGAAAATTTTGAATATATAAATGTATCGATAGAAAGAATTTTTCATTGATGGTTCCTAATCATGGGTTATAATTATCTTGAAGACCCTAAACATAAAGTTCACATTTGTCCTCCCGACATGGTTCATTTCAATAGTTGTTGAAATTATAGATATACGCGATTGTCTGTTTACTCAATCTAGACCGATGCGAATCCGATAAGAGTCTACATTGGCTAGCATCGCATATCTGGATTGACAAAAGTGAACTTGATTAGACTATTCAAATGAAACTTCATTTATGTTCTGCAGAGTTCGTATTTAGTTATTACTTTCAATAAAAATTATAACAAGCTACAACGGTAGGAATAGTGCTCAAAAGAAAACTTCAGCGAAAGTATGATAAAACAAGAACAAAGTTGACACAGACAAGAAAAAAGCTGGAAAAGTCATTGGAAGTGCTATCCAAAATAACATTCATTTGATGGTAATTTTTGAGGCAATCTGAGGTCACCTGAGGAGCTACTGGAAGCCAAAGAGCATAAAATGTGTTGTCTCAGTTTAACACTTTAGTAGCATATATTCACAGATCCACACACAATAAAAAATAAGTTTTTAAGTATCTCACAACGCAAGGTATATTAAGGCCACTAGACCAGATGTAAATTTGAATTCTGCAGAGTATATACTTTTGTGCCGAAATTATCAAATCACATTTGGGTGTATCACTGACTTTTTCATAAGTACACTGGTAGTTTGTGGATAGACCGCCAAACGACACGAGAAACAGGATAGATAATTTAACCAGTTGCATTAATATTACCAAAATAGACTCCTACGTACTTTTCCCATTAAATGGGTGTAAGTTACTTGAGATAATAATGTATTTTCCCTTGAAACCTATCGAATATCCGTTTTACTGACAGCCATAGCCTAAATCGACTTGAATAACTGGCATCACACATCAGTAAATTAAAGTGAAAACTGGATACCCTTATTCACATGAATGAAGGCAGAAATGAAGATCGATACTCCTATCCTGTTGTTCATCAGAATAATTTTTGCATAAAGACTAATGATAAAACACAGACTCACACGAAAATAAATTTTGAAGGTCTTTCGACCGGTAACCTGATAGTTGAAGGCTAAGTGTTTTATTCATCCATTTAAAAATGACCACTTTAGTGACAACCTGCATATATTTACCTTTTATGGATCGCCGTAATATATTTATCGTGAGTTTATAAATAGTGTGAACATGAAACTATTGAGGACGGCAGTTCGCTAAAACACCCTCTCGCTTTCGAATACTCTCAAAGGATAATTGGAATATTTTTTTGTTTGGTTTAAAACATCTGCTAATATTTATACGGTAATAAGGTTAATTCTAAAGGTGTGGTGTCGAATTTATGTACGTATTTTTGTATCCGTGGCCTTTTATTTTATTTATTTAAACACATAAATATTGGTACAAAGAGGAATCAGATACATATGCTCCACAAATCTCATTTGTATGGTGTGAGGGCTGTGATACTGCCCTTATGCCCAAACTGAAACAGGATCGCTTCTCGGCTCTCTGAGCTTAGATCATGTGTAGTATCTGTTCTCCGCAGTGTAGTTTTTGCAACGATCTTTGAACCGAGATCAATGAAATTACCTGTATTTTTCACCGATGGACGGGTGCTGTGAGCTTGCTTAACCCCGACCACGGGTCGGCCTTGTATTGTATCCGGGGTTAGAAGCATGTATTAAACGGTTCACGTTTGGTTTAGCCTAAAAAACAGCGGTATATTTATCACAACCGTGACGAAAATCCAGGCAATGTTTTATATGCAACTTACGTAAGCATTCAATTTAAAGGCAAATTAAATGAACGATTTTTTATTTACATCTCAAGTAATATTATTAAGTAAACCTTAAATAACAAAAATAGACATTTAACTCACAGTTCCATAACAAGGTAGTAGCACTCCGCGTCTTCTAAGACATCAAATAACCGAACAATATTTGGGTGCCTGAGTCTGGTTTTATAAAGAAACTTAAACTAATCAACTGACCTTCTCAGTACTTCTATCTCATTATTAAGAGACTCCTTGCGTGACTCAGCCTCCTTGATAGCACATTCAGAATTTTGAGATTTAGAAAGGTACTTTTTGCGAATACACTTTATCGCTACGAATGACCCAGGGTTTCGCTGATCCTCTGCAAGACGGACTTCTGAGAAAGCTCCCCTAGATGAGTGAGTGCAATTGTATTACATGAAATCATTCATACGTTCCCAATATTTCCTTGAATTCATAGTGGTCTATCGACTGTAACGAAACCATCACAGTGAACTAAGTAGGGGACGATAACAACCGAACGAAGTGCATTTCTGATAGCAAATTAAAATTATGTCAAGGTTGGATACAACTGCTTGAAGTATACAAACAAAAATGGTGCTTGAGAAGACCCAATTGAACTTTGTGTTATGTTTGATGTTGAAATGAACTTTCGGAGTTTTTTCAGTGTTTTGAGAATGAAAACACATACTGATGGCATGGTCGAAAGTCATGTCATTGATTCTCGCTTATGTGTTACATGTTGTCGCGGATTTCTAACGTCGTTTTTTGTCGGCTAATCACAGTATTTTTCCGTCGCATGTTAATTTTTGTAATATTTATGCGTTTTACATGGAGTTTATTGCAGTCTATTGGTTGCCTGACGTATTTGGAGCTGACAACCTGGATGAATGTTTAGTCAGCCTAACTTGGTAATTTGTAACAACGCAAACTCAGGCAAGTGAAATTCATCGTTTATCAAGTCAAAAATACACCAAAATTACAGTTTCAAGCAAAAACAAGCTGTAGAATAATTTACATATGACTTACCTCCCTTATTATGGTAGTGACCCAAACAACCAATAAAGTGGAAATAAAAGCGAAAAAAGGGGAAAGAAAGCGGACGAAAGCGTAAATAAAGGGGGAATGTCGCTTTTTCGCCTGCACGTGAGGGACAGATTTGTAAGCACACAACATGATTTTTATCCTTCATTCCTATTACAGATGGCCATGTTGACGCGTTTAATGAATGATGATCCTAAAACCTGCATGCGATATCTTCTGTCCTACATCATGGAACCTGAAGTCGCTATTAATTTCACGTTACTTGGTACTTCATCAAAACGAGCGATTCAGAAGTGCCGGTTTTATGGCTGCGTACGAAGTAAGATAAATAAGGTTTTTAAACTTCAGGTGCACTTACTAATCGATCCCTGTCGTCATCTGTCACTGAGAAAGACCTTGCTAAACTATATGACATGGCTACACAAAGTTATTTTCACGACATGAGAGACAAAGTACAGAAGCGTCATCGACGGAAGAAAGAACACGTACGTACGACTTTAAAGTGATTATTGTTTTCCCGTTATCTATAGGTAGAGTCTTCCGTGTTTAAGGATATAACCGTAAGTTCAGCTTCAAGTACTTTGTTGTGCAAAACAAATTTCCTAGATATAGTAACGTTCTTCTTCATTACATTTTAGAATTCAAAAGAATTATTTGAGTCTCCATAGTTCAAAAGGCCTGATGGAAAGAAACAAACGTGAAATATCTGGTCCGTGACAATTGCAATTACATCAGGAACATTGATGCTTTACCATCTGCCAAGTGCTCATGACGTTGTACAATAATAAGCTTTTTGTTTTCAATAAAAATTTGGAACTTATACCATATATTACGTACATTACATTATTCGTGTGCCATGTTGTGTGAATGAAGGTGAACACAGGAGGCGGTTGGGGTAAATACAGAAGCGTTTTAAAAGTGGGCGCTTAATTACATCGGTGTGCATGTAGTAGAAAAGTAGACAATTCGTCGGATATTTAGGGTGCAAATCGGAAATTCGTCGAATATTTAAGGTAAAAGTCGGCAATTTAGCGACATTTGAAAAACAGAGCGACAGAAAGGGGAAATTTCGCTTTATTTCCCCTTTATTGGTTGTATGGGGATGAACGTGGTTGTTAGTAGTTGTTTATAAATTGTAATTGAGAGTCAAACTATTCATGAATCTTGTAATGGTAATAATAATAATTCCATGCGACGTTCCTAATGGAAGTTTGTTTTTCTATAGCAGGGCAACAAAGAGTAAATGCACTGGAAATAGAGGAAGAAGCCCTACGCGATCTGAACGAGCAGAACAATGAATAAAACTATTCTGTAGAAAGTTTCCCCTTTTGCACTCAACCGTGTCTTTCAATTTTAAAAATATATATGTTGTACCAGTACATTGTGTTCTTACTTTGACGGCACTTACCGGTCCTCACTGTAGTGTTGTTGTTTCAGATCGCTCCTGCTTCAAAGTGGACGTCAATATATAACGTGCTACATTACGATATGAACTATTAATATACAGCCGTAAACAGTTTAATCCATGATAAGTATCATCGTTGTTAACTGGACTGATATGTTATTACGTAATGTTAGAAAAAAATATGTTAGTAACAATTGGCGTTGATAGATTTTTCTGTCCGCTTTCTGAATTTATACAGAAATTGTGTAGAACATTACTGAAAGTGCCACATAAATTAGCCAAATACTCTTCTTAAGTAAAGCGATGCGTGTTTGTTATGAGCATGGTAACTAAAACATGTTGTAGAAAATACTATTTTACGATGTCGCGTATAGGGTTAAAATATAAATTTCTGCTAACAGAATCCGAAATCACTGACTAAATCATAAACAAAGTGTTAATGCATGTTGACGGGTAATCGCTAAATAATGGTTACCAGTTATTTCATTATTGTATGTAAACAGTATTATGAACGGTGTAATTGGATTTTTCTCAAATATCATATAACTAATTAAAGTTTGTGAGTCCCTTCGTTTGTTTGTTAATACCGAATAACTAGATGAAATTGTAGGAAGATTAGAAAATGAAGAGCACTGTTTACAGCAAGTAAAACACTTACAGGTACATCCTATCAATTGCTATTTCATTTACTTATGGAACTTCATACTGATAACGAAGTTTAATCTTTTCTTTCACGATTGATTTGTTGTTTTTCAGAATTGCATTGAGCAAGCTATCCATACATTTTGTTATATAACTTATGACTTCTGTCAACTAATTGAAAGGCTCAAATCTTTGTAATAATCAAGTCTATGCAGGTGAACAACTTGGCGAATTTCTTAATATGGAAGTTTATGCGGAGAAACAATTCACACATTGACGATAACTGTGTTTTGTATTGACCACTACCGCGTCTATTCATCTAATACGTTATCTAAATATAATTTAAATATAACAACTGTAGTTTTTCGCACTTTAAATCTTTTCAGTATGTGTATAGTCTAGTTAGGTACTAATACTACTTTCATAATAGACGTTGTCCGATAACGGTAAATTTATCGTTTGATTGCCTAGTCTGTAAGATCTTAAGTGAAAATCGCATCACTATCTACACTGACCCATCGTATCGCGACAAATAACAATACACATTTATGCTTGGGATAGAATATATTTAATGTGAATATAAATAAGTTAAACATAATGAGCGCGTCTGCAACACTGACTCATGCCATTCGATTGAATGAATATCTCCACGTTCACCACTTCCGACCTTCTCCAAGTGTTACATCCTTTTAGTTATTATATGCTTGATTCCGGAGACCATGTGATTAGGAAACAATGCCACTCCAATTATTCATCCGAATATACTGATCGTAAATAGGACTGCAGGAAGAGAAATGTTTGAGAAATGGCAGTCTTACCTAATCATTGATTTTTAGTTGATAATTGTCTACTTTTTTCTCCACCACCATGGCGAAGTGTTCACCATATTTTTCAACTATCTGTTGTTTATGAACTTTCTGGCTTCTTTGGATTCGTATATACTCTTCACTCCGTCTGGGTAATGATGTTGTATTATAATGGAAGTTATGCGTGCTATTTAACTTCCATCGGCTGCATGGTCTAAGTATGTGATGAGCTAATTAGTTTATTTCGTAGTTGATTAAGCTTACCTGTAAGAGTTGGTCTTTTTACATATGTCAGTATTATATGACGTCAGGGATATCGACAAGCCATAAATGTTCGACAATTACACTCGCAAGTGCCTGCATCTAGTTCATAACACCACAAAACTGTATTTAAATCGCACGTCCTTTAGCAGTTTACTTTCGCCGTGAATGTTATGTGTACGGGTGGTCTGAAAAGGGATGGAATTATGCATCCATACTTTTTGGAACTCCTTAAACACACCATAGAATTCAATCCAGTTTCCAAAACGCCTGCTCAGTATTATGCGTTGAAACGCCTCACTTAAGTCGACCGAAATGTTTCTGGAACATAAATTACCACAAACATTACTCGTTAATTACTGAAAAAACAGCCATTTCGTGCGATAATACTCCAGTAACTGAAGAAAGGACTACAAGCATTTAGGATTTACGGGTTACTCGTCATGTCGTCTTAATTCTTGCAGAAAACAAGGATTCACACAAATTCATAGTATCTTTAACTGATAATTTATAATGAATACGCAGTTTTGCGGACCCCAACGAATTTTAAACAAGGAGAGTGAGGTTCAGTAGGGTAATTGGTATCCCAGGTCAAGTTACGTAGCAACAAAAGTCAAATTGTACACTACAAAACACAGTAAGCACAATAAACGCTTTTGGCATTGATTTTGTGAATTTGCTACAGCCAAAAATGATGCAAATACAAGAAAACCAGATATTCGTGCAACCCAGAGGACAACCAACCGACCCACAACAAATCAAATACGGAATGACCGCCTCGTGTCAGGCCGTTCAAGGTCGCAAAAAGGAAACGGCGGGCAGGTTTGAAAACGCACTGACTTATTTACCTTGCCCATACTGATACATGGAAAATTTAGTTAATGACGGATATCAGTCTTCAGTGACATGCATGGGCAATCAAATAATGTATATTAGTCTTTTCAACTCTTAGTATTGTGAAAATTCGACCTCACCTCGCCGGTGTTAAATGCTCTGGTAGAGAATCCCAGTAATTCAAAACCTAATGCGAGAAACGGAACTCTAGACGTAAATTATTTCATCCCGCTTTTTGAAATTTCCTAGACTGTGCTCTCAGATAATGAATCCTGGAAGGAAAGAGAACATCGGATATATCATTACCAAGATTGGCTTTCAATATGTGCTAACTCAGCACTAAACGAACCCATAACCTGCCTTTATCTGACGGAAATAGGTTGAGGAGCGGAACTTCAATTGATACTCGGGAATAGATCCATGTGAAGTTGGTCGGTTCTAGAAACCGCAATCTTATACCCCTTCGGAATATCTGGGGCTTTAACAATGGTGCAAAACGAGGTCACCCGTTCCATATCTGTTTTTGGTGGCGTATCTCAAGAGGGCTGAAAAAGGGTATAAGAAAAAGAAAGAGTGAGAAGCAGAGCAGACAATTTTCATGGAGGAATAGTT